ATATTGCAGCTGGCAAATGGATGTGTGTAATGCAGAGAGAATCTTTTCAACTCTAGGCTTGGGACGACAGTTGGTTACAGTTTGTAGCATTCTCTTACTAGTTTAGGTTTTTTAAAAATCAGTATGGTAAGAGTAGAAATCTTTTTGAGAGGATTTCATCAAAGTGTTGATGATACAAAGTCTTGCAGTAAAATCTGTATTAAGCACATTGTCAAAACTATCTGAAATTAGGCCAAGATTAGTGGAGATGAACAAGCATAAACCTCAGCCTGATTTTCCTTTTAGGAAGAAAACCCCTAGTACCTTGCACTAATACCTAGATCAGGATCCTTTGCTGTCAAGTATGCTTACTGATAGTGAAGAGGTGTTACATGCTTTACTAATAGTGACAACCATTGTCTCATTGCTGTGAGGACACCAGAAGATCCCAAGAAGTAAGAGTTGAAAGGCTTATTAACAGTAATTTGGCAAGATTATTAGAAAGAGGTGTTTTATTTAAGGTTTTCACTTTCTAGCTTTTAATTGGGGAGCCAGCTTTCAGAAAAGCTAAGTGGCTGAAGCCCTTATAATCATGTTGGATAGCCAAAATTAAAAAGTACATTTTTATATAAAATTTGAAATGGACATTCTGCCCAAGATCATGGTAGAAGATTGCAAAATCCAAAAAAAACCTCAAGACTCTTGCCTAAGCTCCCAGAACTCTAATGAGATTTAAATACAAAATGTGCATGGAGGACAGAAAAGTATCTTACTGAATAAATCTTACAACATGTTCTGTGCTGCAATACATAGGCTCAGTGAGATGCGCTAAGTGGGGATTTCCACCACGAGCAAAACTCCTGCTTCTTGGAGGTGTAATTCAGACTTTTCCTTATCTGATCTCCAGGTTGGTTCATTCTTTCTCCCTGTAGCTGGCAAGCCGTCTTATTTGACAGCGAAGCTGCTATGACAAAATGCTAAAGCTCTTGCTCTGGGCTATTTTTAATCTACTGCAGGTGAAAGATCAGAACACATTCTTTTGGAAGATTTACGTGTCACCCTTGTGCTGTGCTGGATTGGATAAATGGGAGTTGACAAACTACAGGACAGGAGATTTAAACCGTTGACCTCTGACATTGAGTCATTGCAACTGTATATTATGACATTTATGTTCAGAGGCTATAGTCTTTGTTCTGAGGGAATCTCATAAATGCTTAGCAGAGGTACCAAAATAGTCATTTTTCTGTCTTTAAGCTTTACTGTGGTAATCAGTGGTTAAATATCCTTTCAGGCCCTTGTGGCTTTTAATGTGAAATATTTCTGAGCAATTGTTAAGTTCTCCTGTTGTTTGTGGAGAAACACACATTTGTATGTCTTGAAAAAAGCCGTAAGTACTTAATGACAGTTCAGTTTGAGCAGACTCATGCATTTTTTTGCTGATCCTTTGATAGTCTCCTCTTTCAAGGATCTTTGTTAACTATAGCCATTTCTGAAACAAAAGCCCTGATAAAGCAAGAAACTTAGGGATGTATGAAACACTTTTCAAATTAAGTGCATGCTTCAGTGTTCTGCTGAACTAAGACCCAAACTTCTGCAGTGCATCATAATGCAGGAGAACAATAGGAGGAGGATGGGTGCATGCAACTACTCTCTGCCTGTATGACAGATGTCAGGTGAAACGTTGTTGCGCCTTTTTAGAAAGGGGATGAAAGGAATGAAGAAGAGAGGGTGAACCTGATGGAGTGGAAGGTGAGTTGAAAAATAACGGCTGAAGAGGACTGAGCTTGTTGCAAGTTGAGGCACTGCTCTTGACAGTCTCCAAGCCAGGAGCTTGGCCTGTGTGGATGATCAAATATTTCATTGCCTTTATTACTGTTTAAGGTTATTCAAGCTGACCCTCTGAGCTCGGATATAGACTGCATGCAATATCTGAGTGCTGTTCGTGATGTTCATTATGCATGCTGTCTAAATTATACATTATTATGAGGGGCACATAACCAATTAGTGTATGGATTTGTTCTGCATGTGCAAATCTTTTCTTGGGATAAGGAAGCATCATACGGAGGCTTGGCTGAAGAAAAAAAGAGTACAGTTTAATCTTAAATTGTAATTATCATCCTCTGGCTAATGATAAGCAATATTATGGCCTGCACATCAGCTGTAATTAAGCCGTAAGACACAACAAGGTGTATGTTACAGGGAGATAACACAGTGCTTAAAAGCCAATGACCTGCAAAGCACATTATCTCCCAGCTGCACAAGCCCTACAGAGTCAGCCTGTACATATATGCTAGCAAAGCCACTGTCCTTTGTTTCTCCACCTTCATTCTGCTTTTCAAGGGGCAAAAATTGTAAATGTTTTTCGTATTTCTTATTGTGTCATGTGATTAAATCAAAAAGCACTTTTTAATTTTCTATTAGTCAACTTTTGTACATAAAACAAACTGATATGAGACATTATTAGTGATCGTTTAGCATTGCTTACAATGAAGTTCATGAGTGTTTGGTTAGACACATCAGTACAGAATATGCGAGGAAGGATTCTCACTGATGATTCAAGCACCAGACTGTCAGTAACTCTTAAGTTGCTCCAAGAAAGATTTCATGTTTATTTCAACGATAGCAGAACAACTTTGAGCTGGAACTTAGTGTGAGATGAAACTTATTTCAAGGCAGAACTGATTTTTGTTTGAATTTAACCATTGGAAGAGCAAAGGTTGTACTGTTTGTATTGAACATTAAAAGCTTTCCTATCAAGGTGCCACTGACCATGTAAATGTGCTGTATGGACTGACTGAACCATGATGCTGTATGGGTGGCTGAATTAAAATCAGGGCTAGCAGTATGGCATCAGCACTACAAAATTACAGGTCAAGAGGACTATGGGAAGTAAAGTATCTGAATCATATTTCTTTGAGGAGGAAAACGTATAGCTTCTGTTGTAGAGCGTAGGAATGCTGGTATAAAGCTAGTATTGGAGGAAGAAATGAGACTTTCCAAATAATAGTAGAAAATTTGTAATGTAATCTGGAACAGGCTAAATTTTGCCATGTTGAGTCCTATCAGAGTATTTCTCTGATCACAAGAAAATGTCTGCTCAGGGAAAGGGAGGTCATGACAGGGAGAGGCATGTCACCCCTCCATATGGCCTTCACCTCTCTGAGGAAACCCTTGGACACAGGGCCAAGTGTAAGTATCTTTGTGCTAAGTTTCACTGGCATATTTATGGTGCAGGATGGATATGTATTTATAAGTGCTGGCAAATACTGTTAATTTTCATTTTTGAACAATCAGACATGAGTACTGAGGCTTATTCACTTATGTTATCCCTAAGATAATTTTGCGGGGCAGAAATTTCTTTTGATCAAGAAAATTTTTAGGTTTAAGCAACATCCACGTGGATCTGCTGCCTCTTGGATATTGGGCAGCTACCTATAATTATACAAAATGGATACAAAATACAGTTGATCAAAATGCTTGGTTTTGTTCCTGTTTAACAGTCTATCTCAATCGATTGTTTTGTTTTTTTCCAGCCACCAGCCATACCAACTGAATTGCAGATATCAAATTAGAATGCCACTGTGATCTTTGTAACCAAATTACTCACAGTTTGAACAGTCTAGGCAGAGTGAGACTAGCAGCAGTAAGCTGAGGCGTAAAGAGATGAAGTGTCTTGTCCAATTCTTTTTTTAGCCAATAATTGTCAGAACAGGGAGCAGAATAGGTATTTTTTTAGTTTCCCAACTTTTCACTATGTTACCCATCCAAAAGGGTACATACTCATTTAGTCAAATGCGAGGTGGACTGCCTTCAGCAGTATGGAAGGCCAGCAGCCTGGCTCTTGTAGCCTGAGTCATACTGTACATTGCCAGAAGCAGAGAGAGGTTCTTAGGGTTTGAACAGCACTTAGCTTATCGGGACCCTGATTTATTTGGGTGTCCCAAATATTACTGTAAAAAAATATAAAGTTAGGCTTAATATAAGAACAGAAACAAAGCAGAGGCAGTGGAAACAGCTGTTTTTTTCCCCCTAAGCCCTTTTATTGGGTGAGACTGTTTCTGATTACAGCTGTAGCACTGTAAATGCCTGCTAGATGTCTGGTGATAATCCATTCAAAGCAATTACAAGGCATCCGTCACCAGCAGGGTCTGAGCCACAGGCCTCTTATCTGGGAAGATTGATGGAGGAGAAAGGGGGATTGAGGGCAGAAATCAATGCTTTTCACCAATGTCATCTGCCAAATTGAATTAAGCAGCATGGGATCCCTGGTTTATATACTGTGAGAGTCGGAGCTTAAAGAATCTGTTTATAGCAAGCTTAGTTCATGAGCAAGGCAGGTGAGGGAGGTATACCTAACATGTACTCACTGGTAATTTCTTGAGCATCCAGAGTTCCCACTGATATCAGTGGGACTCATATGTGCAAAAGGAATTCAGAACTTGCAATATATAGAACCTTTAACCTAATGACACCAATTCCAGTTTTGAACCTTGTGTCTGCTTGCAGTCTTAATGTATTGTTTCCCCTGCTTGTTATTTTTTGGTGGAGCTAAAATACTTCTGAATTTTTGCATGCAAAGGACTGCAGAGAAAGAACCAACAACTTAAGCAAAGAACCAACAGCTGCATACTTTAGAAGCAGTACTAGTAAAACTGTATTGGTTAAAGATAACGTATTGGTTAAAAATAATATATATATTGAATCTTTTGGCAATGTGCTCATGCTGCATAGAATGTAATCCATGACAGATCTACTGACATCTAGTGAAAGTAAGTGGTGTTTTAGGTCCTGCTGAGGGGGACTTGGAAGGTTTACTGTTCCCTCTGCAATTGGTATAGTCCAGAGCTTCTGGGATGAACAGTTGTCGCTGTCAGGAAGAGAACAGGTTTTTGTGTTTGTATGGATTCACTTAAAGACCCCTGACACTACAAAGTCTGCAGAGGTTTGAGCTTTTCATACATACACACACACATATATATTTATGTATATTATTTTTAAAGAAATGCCATGTATTCTTGTAGGTTTTGGTGTTTTACTTTCATTAGTACCTCTGCTTCCCGCCCCCCACCTGCCTTATGGGCTGGAAAGGTGAGTAACATGAATTCTGCTTCTGTATGTGTAATAAGTTGCTTATTCTGCAAAACAATGTTGAATCCAGTAGATGGATGTAAAAGTACTTAATAATATTGCCATCTGTACAGTGATGCTTTCCTCCACTGAATCTGCAGTCAGCATTGGAAAGGCCACTGGTATGTCTATGAGGTGTTGTTACGTACTTCCAATTCAGTATATGATTAAATCAGAAGGTGGATCCATATAGACAACAGCAGGAGAATTGTCACTTGGGATACTACAAAAAAGAATCCATTTGTACTGCATGAATCAGTTTCATCTGTGGGCTGTGTGACCATCAGCTTTGTTTATGCATTTTGTAGCACCTGTTTTTGTACCTTGGCCACATAAGGGTAAGCTATTAATGATTTTTTTTAAACTACTAGCTAATAAAGGAGTTTCTTCAGCCAAGCGATAGATCTGTATTACAGGTCTTGGAATTAAGTCCTGCTGACGACCCATGTAGCAACTTTTCTTTCATGAACTCAGAATCTCATATAGGTATACTGACTGTGTAATTCTTGTTTGTAACATAATGATAACTCAAGCTCGTCGTCTTTATGCTATTTACAGAAATAACAAAGCAGATTTTGGGACAAAGTTCACCTCCTTTGAAGCAATAAAACCTCAATTTCGGGTATAAAGCATTCCTATCCTTGTAAACATTTTCCTTTGACCCATTGACATTTTCCTGCTTTCTTCTTATCCTGCAGGGTTTTTTCTCTCTGTCCTGCTCTTGAAGTATACATAGGGGAGGTACAAGAATAGTCATTTGGGAGAGGTGGTAGAAAAGCCAGAGGACTAGGATAGCTGGGCCAGAATAGACTCTGGAGAAGTATTTAAAAGAATGAAATTCTCAAGGTTCCAGATTAAAGAGCTGACTCAGCAGAATACAAATACAAAAGTAAATCCCAAAAGATGAGCCCAAAAAACCATGGATACTGTGCAGAACAATTCAACTAAATCAGTTCAATACAGAGCGCTATGGAAACCTTTTTTCCTACCAGGCGCAAGTCTGTGGGAATTTGCATTGCAGTCAGGTATACTTAAAGTGCACATAAACCATCTAATAAAAATTCCACTGGAGTGTACGTCATACAGCTGTGTTTTATTATATTTGTGCTTTCTTCCCACTGACAGTGCCTTTATAACTGGATTACTCACATATCATCATTAACTCTGACACTCCTGGGTTTTTACTGCTTCCCTGGTTCCTATCATCTTCTGTGAGTTTTATCTGTTTCCTGCAGCTGTTCCAAGATGTATTTCTTTAATATCTTTTCAGAAAATGAACATGGGAGTGGGTAAAAAGCATGGTTTGGATACCATGTGCAGTAAGAAGGGCTCTCATCATTTCTACCAAAACACCCTGTCAAGCCTCTGCTCTGCCTATACTCATAGGTATGTGTTAAGTTTTTCCTTTGACCTATGCTTCATCTCTTAGTTATAACTAAGGGATGCTGTGTACTGGAAAACAGAAATTACTGAAATGTGGTGCTGAGCTGTTTAATCCTATGTTGATATTTCATAGACGTTATTTTAGTTGTCCTCCGTACAGGCTTTTTAATTGACTATTCATAGTATGTTTGGAATCGGAAACTCTAAAAGTATTTTTTCTGGTGACTGAACAACATAATCTATTGAATAAGACATGAAGACATTTTACTTCAGGGCTCAGGAAAACTTGTTTCTGATCTCTGACAGCTAGTTTGAGCTTGGAGTTAATCTCCCTTTGCTATTGATTTTCCTCTCATTCTTTGTTGTCCCTGTTATGAATAAAAATTCTTTGGGCAGGGACTATAGCTCACTCAGGTATTTGCAGAGAACTGAGGTTAAACTATCTCTGTCTTGTGAAATTTAAGTAGAATTCAAGAGGGACTTAAGCATACCAAGTTCTGTGAGTCAAGTTTCTGTGTACATTGCTAGCTTTAGTTGAAGAATTGATTGGGCTCAAAGTATTTTTACTGTGCTCAGGAAAATCAGACCCCTGGATTTTTGGTTGTAGAGTGGGCTATAGTTTACTCAGCCATGCCCATGCTTAAGCCATTCAGATCTCCTATAAGAGGAGGCTCTAAACATACTCAAAGCTCCTCACAAGAGAATGCCCCGAATTCTGCCGGAGACTGCAAGCAAGCTCAGTGAGCTTTCACTTCCATGTGAACAGGGTTGATGGCAGGTGGGCCTGGGTATAAAAATAGGTTCCAGCCTATAGATTGACCAGCAGCGTACACACCTGCAGGACTTCTTGCAAGATAGAAAATATATTTTAATTAGGAGAACAACCTAACAGCCAGTATATGCAAAAACACTTCCTCTAGTGCTGCTTCCTTGACATAGCTTTTCCGAGTGTGTAGTGAGAGAAAATAATATTGTGTTACTGGTCAGAGTCATTATGGTGCCAAGGCAAATCCACCTCTGTTTCTGGAGGTACTCAAGTACTCAAGCTGTTTGAACGGTGTAGATCCATGTCTGATTCCTAGGTGTGTGTGTGGTTTTTTTTTTTTTTTAATTAAATCAAAGTTATTCGTGGCAGAAATTTTTTTTTTCAAAACTCAGGTACTCCTTTAATTATAAACACAAGACAGTTGGCAGTTTGACTGGCCTCAAACTGCTATTCAGAATTATCAACCCAAATCTGGCTTTACATTTTGTTTCTGTAAAAGTAGTAGCATGAAAGCTCTGAGAAGCAGCGTCAGGAGAGATGGCTTATCTTTTCTGCTCTAGATAGAGGCAGGTTCCTCAAATGGTTGCACATGCTTTGTAATTTATTAAAACATCTTAGTTAATAAGAATTTTTATGGAAGTACATCAACAAGACAGACAAAACAGTTCTTCATTAGCTCTTGTTTACTTATTGCAACAAGCGGTGCCAAAGGATGTGGCTTAATTTTTCCTTTTTCACTATGTATAATTTGCTGTATATTTTAGAGAGCAGTCTTTTTGCTCTGGTTCTTTTGGGCAAGCACACCTTTCAGGTGATACATTGATGAAGTAGCGGGTAGTGACGACTTTTGTATGAACTGTAGCTGCATCCATAGAGGAATGTTGCCAAAGAAAGACTATAAACATCCAGGAATGGAGAAGAAAGGTAGGGTAAATAAAAAGCTTTTCATGAGTGATCAGTAGTTTTGGAAATCTCAGCTTCTTGATGTCCAATAAGAAACTCCATGACAGGCACCTAAATTAACACCTTTAGAAAAGCAGACAGTACATTCCCAGCTGTCTGTTTAGACTCACTCTGAACACCTAGTTAAATTAAACTGGCATCTTTGACACACAGCTGTAACTGGCAAATTAGAGCATTAGTGTTTTTCCTATGATTTTTGTTTTTATATATAAGCAAGTTAACATCAAATTTTGATAGCAGCTGGTTTTTTCCTCCAGATGTTTGCCAAAATTTACCTTCAGCTCAAAACTAGTCTGAACTCAGTGAGCATCTGTCACAGTCATCTTAAGTATCTATCTATCTAAACGACTTAAGCTCAGAAAGGCAAGAGAGGTAAATGAAAAATGCAGTTTTGTTGCTGCATGTATTTGTGCCTGTAATCTAGGTCAGTTTAATAAAAGCTCCTAGAATACAGAGTAGCCAGATAAATTTAGGACAGTTGAATAGTGGTAGTCCAAGAATAACGTGCCTAAAAGGGCTGGATAGCTGGATTCAAACATCAGAGATTTCCATATGCAGGGCCAAGTCTTAGTTTCCAAGTTAACCTCAGCTAACTTCAGAAAAAAATAAACCAAACAAGCTTAGTCCCAAGTTCTTTTGAAAGTTAGAGAATTGCTATGTCCTTCTCCTCTGAGTTGCTATTCTAACACTAACCCAGGACTCCTATTGATGCAGTGCTGTCAATAATGGCAAAAATATAACCCATTCCCCTGGGGAATTCATCATTCTCCTATCAGGAAGGGCTTCTTTTGTATGAAACATCAGCCCACAGTAACACTACTTTAGCACTGGGTATTGACTCTGAGGCCATTTTTCTGGGCTGAAAAATTTTATGCCTTATCTTAGTCCCTTTGCATAATGATTTTAAAATATGCTTTATCAATGTAAGGATTGTAAGAGGCTTTCTATCTCTTCCTATGTAAATTTGAGGTAGTTTATTGACTTGCAGTGGAATAGTAAATGAGGTTGAAATGTATCCCCATGTTCCTAACTGAAGGAATTCTACTCTTTCATGCTAAGAAAAAGAGCTGGTGAATTCTTTAAAGAGGAGAGATTGTGACTCCTGCCCCCGGGAGATGGTAGCAACTTACTTTCTTTAAAGCTATTTTGCTTCCAAATGAGCTATTTCCAAAAATATCAAAAAGTTCAAAGAAAAAAGCAATATGGTGTGCTGTCAAACACAGCTGATTTTCCTGAAAGTAACTGGCCAATTGAATCTCTTCAGGCCTACTTTTTGGATTTGAAATATCTGGAACAGTTACGGAAGTATATTGTATAAGTAAATCAGAAAACATAAAGGTTTCTTGGCTTACACTTTAACTATAGAAGATCGTTTCCAATAGAGGAAAGTTGTTTGAACCTTTTGTTTTTCATTTTAGAAACCAATATCATGACAACGGATGTGCAAGTGAAGGACTTCTATATGAATTTTATACAGAGGCACAAGATCTTTTTATAGGGGAAGCATATGGAGCAGAGTTTAGACTTAAAAGCCCACTGATTCTACTTGGAAGCAAAAATGGGTAAAAATACTATTTCACTGCTGGTCATTTGAGGGCTTTTGTCTTACCAAGAATTACTGTCATGGTTGCCTCTCTGTCTTTAATGCTTTAGACCTGCCAAACATATGCAATGTGGAAGTTGAAGGCAACTGGACAGCTTTTATGTACTTAGTTGGATATATTGGTTAGTGTTTGCAGGATTCCAGGCCTTAATTTCTGTTCACTTTTGACTTGCAGAAATTGAATCTGCCTTAGTTCTGGGGTTTTGGAAACATCAACGAGTATATTCACCTATGATCCTTCAGATGGAGATCTTTGTACGCAGAGAACTTAGCCTTTTGTATTAGAAAATGGGAAATCTGTACAGTGGATGGTAACCTCTAGGTCCCCCCCCCCCCTTTTTTTTTTTTTTTTAAAATTTTTTTTTTTTTTCAAAATCATGTTCTGAAGTTATATAGAACGTGGGTGACGTTAACTGGTAACATTGCATTGTTATCTTATTATCATCTTTAAAATTTTAAAGATAAGCTTTTTTGTCATCAAGCTACTGTGGGAAGCTTTTGCTCCAAAAACAAACTAGTACCCACAAAAATTCCTGGGTTGTTGTAGTTTGTACACCTCTCTTCCCCGTTTGCAGCGAATGCACCAATTTTTAATTTTTTTTCCCCTTGGGAGGTGGATAATGACATGATCCATTTGGTTCCTGTTACTCCGAAGCTGAGAGTGTCCACTGGAGTCACAAATTATTTGTTTGTTTAGTTACAGAGTAGGAAGGGTTCTGGTAATGAACTCTGCTCTTGCTGGACGGTTCTCCCTGTCAGAAGGAATTAGACTAGAACATTGGCAAAAAGAATACAGATGACACAAACTCGTGGGCTGTACTTATGCTATAGAATGAAACTTTAAAAGAGACTATTTAGCTTGGGAACATGAGGCCTGGAGCAGAAAAGAAAGAATAAAAGTCTTACTGCTTTAATAGTTTTCCTTTGGGCTGCTACGGTTTTAATACAATAGCTGAAGAGAGAAAGGATGGAGAAAGGGGCTGAGTCTTTTACTTAGTAAGTAATTTGAATCTAGGTCCAATTGCGATGCAAGGCCAATGGTAGCTAAAACTAAATGCTTTGGTGCAGTTGTCTGTGTTGAAGAAAACTCATTGTCATAATTGACAATAATTGAACACTTTTCTTTAACAGTCCCAGCAAAAACAAGGGAAAGA